CTACTATATATATATATATATATATATATATATATATATATAGGTGTAGTTTGTATAAAGCCTCGGCTCTAAAAAATCAACTTAGAGCCTACCTTTAAAAAGTGTCGAGAAATGTCGTTTTAATACTGAAAATATTTGTAATAGACTTAAAATATATTTTGATCTTTATTTATAAAGATTAAAGCTTCAAAAATAGTGTAGATCGATAGATCTAAAAAACCGTGAAAATCTTGAAAATTGACGGTCCAAAAATGCATTACAAAATACACTACTTCCACAACTTGAAATCCATTTATTTTCTTATATACATACATCTTGATGTGAAATGATCAATTTGAGGATATTTGAGCATTGAAACAAACCTCTTCTAGTGAAATATTTGAGGTAGGCTCTTTTTTTGATTGTTTAGAGCCTTGGCACTCTACAAACTTTCTCTAGATTGATCAACTAGGCAAAGTTGATTATAAATAAATAAAATAAATAAAATTTGAAAATGAAAATATATATTTTTAATATTTTTTTATCCACCATCCATATCTTATTTATGGACAATACACTACATAACGTTTGTAAGTTAGCGGGCTCGTGCGCCGTCTCACTCATGAAACAATTTTCCGATGTATAAAAGTCTTGTTCAAACCAACCTTGAGAAAGATGATTTTATGTGAATATTTTTTCCTATAAATAACATGACTTTGTCTGTGCAGACGCAAACAGAAAAAAGAATCCACGAAATGAAGATTTGGTCCTTAGGTTATAAAGTACTTACTCGGTCTGTATCTATTAATAATAGTCCGCCGGCTCACCTAAATTGTACGACCAGGTCACAACAACAAGAGTGAGAACAAAAAGGACGATCGCAACCGACATCGCACGAAACGCTTCACTATCAAATCATAGGATTTCATCCATGGGATTCTGCATCTTGTATTGTCAACGCGTATGGTCGTTCTCCCATTCGAATGTGAATTTTCGTGCTCTCAATTTGTTTTTCTACAATTTTCTAGCATCAGCTGCACCGTAAGATTTTTCAGGTTCAAGGTTTAAAACAACGGATTGGTGACTCGAATTGGACAAAAGAGCAGAACAAGTTAGAGGAAAACTTAGATTGGTAATCAACTACCAACCCTGTTAATATAACACATGGTAACTTTGAGCTCAGACCAAATTTCTGCACACACATACCCCTGTCGGATCAGGGGAATCGATAGATCCGATCGGAAGAATTGGCAGATCGGTAATTTTTGTTTTAAAATCTTTTAAAAAATAATTCAAAATAATTTGTTCGTCTTTTTTTTTTTGAATTGACTCAGTGAAGAATCGGTTGGAACTGGTGAAGAATAGTCGAAAACAGTGGTTCTGCGAAAAAATCAATGATTTTACTATTTGGAACAGCCCGGATGGCCCGATTTCGAATCGGATCACCAAGTTTTTAAACCTTGCTCGAGGCATAGATAGACGGGCCAAGTAGTTCCACACGGACGTAGCACAACCCAATATAGGATGTGTTTTTGAATTGTATCGGATGTGGCTCGACCATAAGAGACGAGGTCATAAAAGGATATTTATAGTGTATTGTTGTGAATTTGAGCAGACAATGACCCAAGCTCGCCTAACAAGGGATAGGCCGGCCGGGCGAAAAACTAGGGCTGGCGTTAGAATACAACTCATGGACAATTTACATTGTCAGCACTTTCCAATGTATGGTACATGTAATATACAATTCCCCATTATGTATTGGGTGCAGTTTGTATAGAGCCAAGGCTCTAAACAATCAAAGTAAAGCTCACTTTTAAATAATGTCGAGAAATGTGGTTTCAATATTGAAAATTTTTGTGATAGCCTTAAAATATATTTTTACATTTAATTATAAAATTTAAAGCTTAAAAAATAGTATAGATCAAGCAGATCTATAAAAACTTGAAAATCTTGAAAATTGACCGTCCAAAACTGCGTTACAAGATACACTATTTCCTAAACTTGAAAACTCTTGTTTTCTCATATCCATACATCTTGAGGTTGAGATGATTAATTTGAGGATATTTAGACATCAAAATAATTTCTTGAAATTTTTGACGTGGGCTCTACTTTGATTGTTTAGAAGCTCGGCTCTGCATAAACGTTTTCCTTATGTATTAGTACTCACTTTTTCTTTTTTTCGTAATAACCGACTCTGCCAAAGTTAATGACGCATTAGTTATAATAATGAATGCACATATGCTTGGACTTATGCCCGTGAACTAAATTAAGTGAGTGCACATGTTGAACCTCATTCACCCGTCGGCTCTGTCTGGACTGTTTAGAAAACCTGGTCTCCTCTTCTTTCAAATAAAGAAACTGTCAACCATGTATCTTCATCATCTCTTATTTGAAAACAAGCCCTCAATAGTTATGATACATAACTCCTTAACCAAACACATTTCATAAAATTAGAGAGCACAGAAGTTTTTGGGAGAACTAGACAGCAACAAAATAGAGAAGTGGAATGGTTACACAGTAGAATGGTTCCACTTTTCTTGCTGCTTTTTTTCCTATCATCACGGGAATTGCAGCAAGTAAGGTCATTAGCCGAATCGGAAGACGCGAGTGCTCTTCTTGCCTTTCGAAGTTCGATACGAGGGGTAAGATATCTCCCATGGAACATGACACAGAGCTCCCCATGCTCGTGGCTAGGTGTAATCTGTGATGACAAAGGTCGTGTTGTGGCCTTGAAGCTACCCGGTAAGGGACTCAGTGGAACCATTCCTTCAATGACATTAGGAAACCTAACTCACCTTACCATCTTGAGCCTTCGATTCAATGGTTTTTTGGGTGCCCTCCCCTCCGACATAGTGAAATGCACAAACCTTCGGAGCCTTTACTTGCAGAGCAACCACCTCTCCGGTAACATCCCTGACTTCCTCTTCCAGCTTCATAATCTCGTCAATTTGGACCTCGCCATGAACCAATTTTCTGGTGGGATCCCTGCCCAATTCAATGACTTAACAAGGTTGGTTACCTTAGATATTGATGACAATCGATTGGAAGGCCCTATTCCTGCCCTTAAACTACGACATCTAAAGAAATTCAACGTGTCCTTCAATAGGCTAAATGGGTCAGTGCCCTCGAGCTTGATGTCCTTCGGCACCGAGTCTTTCTTAGGGAATTCGCTATGTGGAGCTCCATTAGCGCCTTGTCCAGGAGGAAGAACTAGTGGGCTTGCTCTTGGGTTGATAATAGCCATTGCAAGTGCATCATTAGCCGTGTTTATTCTTTTTCATACGGCTATATTCTTGTTCTTTTGCAAGAAAAAGTCCAAAAGAGGAGGCAAGTTTGGGGAAACCAATAGAAGGACAACGGTAGAATCCAGTGATTCAACTTCAAAGGAATATTCAGTAACGATAATAGAACCCCAGAAACCAAAGAACAGGCTTGTGTTCTTGAGGGATGAGAAGATGTGCTTTGGATTAGAGGACTTATTAAGAGCTTCAGCTGAAGTTCTTGGGAATGGAAGCACAGGGACTACATACAAGGCAGTTTTCGAAATGGGCAAAGTGGTTGTCGTTAAACGATTGAGAGGTGTGGACGTCGGAGAGAGGGAGTTCGTGAATCAAATGAAAATCATAGGAAAGATGGAGCATGAGAATGTGGCTACCCCGAGCGCTTATTATTTCTCCATGGATGAGAAGTTGCTGGTCTACGATTACTTTCCAATGGGCAGTCTTCATGGCCACCTCAAAGGTGATGTATCTATAACGTTGCTATAACCACAATAACATTTTTTGTTTTTCCCTGTTTTTCTGGGTGCCTCATTTCTGAGAGTAGTATAACAGAGCATCCACTGCCCCAAATGAACAAACCACAAGGAATTTTGGTGAAGCAGGAACTTTTGCTCTTATCGTTTGTTTGGTTCATTGGAAATTTTCCAGAAATCGGCTTTGTACCTCTTGGGGTACCAAGCCGCTTTCTCCTAAAACAGCAGTGCTTTCCCACATTTTGAGTTCGGACGTGCCTGTTGGAGATTTTCGGGAGAGCCAAAAATTGAGTTCACCCAGCGAAGAAATATCTTTTATGTCTGTAAAAGTAGGGCTACAAAAAAAAGAACATTAAAAAAACTCCCCAAATTTTTTTAAAAAATACGATTAAATCATATTTTTGTTTTGTATATAATTAGATATTTTTTAAAAAGATTGGTGTGCGTTTTCACCATAATCATTATTCTTATATTTTCCTTATTTTGGTTTTTTAAAATATCTCAAAAAGAAAATTATTTTTAAATCTATTTTTCTGTACTTTTTAAAGCTTATTTAGACTTTTCAAGGTTATTTTTGTTTTTATTTTATTTTTATATTTACTTTATTTTTCATATTTTTCTTATGGGATTGTATATTATGAGAGTATTCATCTTTTTTAACAAGGAGGTCACAAGTGCTCCAAGTTATTAGATATCAAAGTGGATGGCTCCGGGTGTTTCACAAAGTTCGATATTTTGTTTGTCTTATTTTAACTTTGAGTTTTTTCAATGATGCACTCAGAACTACTTGATTTGAAATATGAAAGAGTGATTGTAACTTCCTTATAATAAAAGTAAATGATCTCTTTATTTTTTATTTATTTCTTATTCGTTAATTTTTATAAGGTTTTTGGACCTGTACAACATTGGGTGAGTCCCGCGCAATCAACTCGCCTCATAGCAAGGCTGACTAACCGGCTCGAGGCGATGTCCTAATCACTTAGCATCACGATGCAAAAAGCCCAATGAAACACACTATAGGTTTTTCTGAATCTAAATACGTGTGATTAGGCAATTGTTTTTTAAATTAAAACAAGAAAAAGAGAATCAAACGTACCGAATGCTACTTTATATTGCATTTCAAGGCCTATTAGGGAATGACAAGACGGACAATTATTGTTAGTGTGAAATTATGGTTGACAAATTTTTTCGAGATATTATTGATTTGTTCCTTTTTTTGGTGTATTTATCAGAATTTTATCTAAAGGTTTATCTATAAAAGTTATATTCTTTGTACTGAAATAATTAAATATGAAATCCCTATAAAAGCCTTTTATTTAATTATTTCTTTAAAACTGGTCCTATTCAGAAGTGCAAGTAAATTTTGATTCTCTTAAATTTTTTTAAAAAATTAAAATTTGTATGATAGATTTTCAAGTATTTCCTGGGCAACAACCATTAGTTTATAAAATTTCAAATTCTAAGCTGCAATATAGGTTTTAAAAAAATTTCATATAAAAAAAAAAGAATTTAAAAGATATAATTTTTAGGTAACTATGTTGCCAACTATGAAAGAATCTTTTACTTGATTTTTTCTTTTTTTCCCAAAAGTAGTCTTCAAAACGATGTTTCTTATTGGTGTCCAAGGTCATCGAGATAATATCAGGGAAGCTCATGTTATCGTAATACATTTATTTTATCGTGCATGCAATAAAACAAAGATAAATTCATATTATCAGCTATAATTGTCATTAAGTAACGGATCAAAATCTGCTCATGAAGTTTAGCAGGGGGTAAAATGCAAGTAGAAGCAGCAACAATGTACCAAATAGCACTTGGGGCAGCCAAAGGCATAGGGCACATACACAGTTTATGGAACAATAAGCTTTCACATGGAAATATCAAATCATCCAACATTATGATCACTCAAGACTATAGAGCTTGTATTTCAGATTATGGGCTGAAATCCATATTAACTTGTGTTGGCTCATCAACAAGTCAAAGGGATGTCACTAGAGCACCCGAAGTTACCGACAAGTCGAAAATTTCACAAAAGGCAGATGTTTACAGCTTCGGAATTGTACTTATTGTGATGCTTATAGGAAGGCAAAATGAAGTTCATCCTACATTTGAAGACATAAATATCGAGCTATTGAAGAAACAAGTGGCTGAGGAGATGGTGGAGCTGTTGCAAATTGCAGTTGTGTGCATTGATTGCAATCCTGAAATGAGGCCGACTATGAATGAAGTTGTTCAAATGATAGAAAATATTAGTTGTAAATTAGACAATGATAAGGGACAATTTGGAGATCCAAATAGTAATGAACAAAGTCCTGATTCTGATTAACACATGTACAGTGAAGTGTGTTTATTCATCCCCCTTACTCGTGATTACTTTTCTTGTTTATAAGGATGTAAAATTCATCTCAATTTCTTCTCTTTTTATGGCTAATAAATCAAAATGCCATATTTGGCATATAGCTCGTGTAACATTCAATATTACATATTGCAGGGTGCCAATCCACAAAGAATTCTTTCGGAATTAGCAGATAGATCAAATACTTAATTTACCTGACATGGTATATGCTTAAGAACTTGAGTAAAGTTAGTTTGCACATGAAATAATCTGATGCTAAAGCCTAATTAGATCAGTTTTCTCATACGACCCATGTAATAGAATCTAGTGTGGGGTCTAGGTTTTTCAGTGGATTTCACCGATTGTTTTGTCATGGATTTCCATTTCACTTACAATTGCCACCCTTACCCCCTTGCATTTTCTTTGTTTTTACCCTTTTGGAATTGCATTTAGATTTTACCATGGTGGACTGCCTCTCCTCCTCGCTTTACAAATGAGTCACAAGGGTGTCAATGAGAGGGAGGAGTTTCGGCGATAAGGGAAGAGGAATCCCATTATGGTGGCAAGATGGTGATGAATATGCACGCTTTGACGGAGTGCTCAAATTGTATGTTGGCTCACTCACCATCAGCATGAATCTTTTCATGGTGATCTTGGCCCCTTCGGGTATCCTCAACTCCACAAACCCCTTGAGATCAAGGATTTCAGGCTCATGGAGTGTTTAGCATATGCACGCTTGAGCTTCTTGATCATGATTTTTGTGGTCCTACACACCTCCTACTCTTAGAAATATGTGTCGGTGATGATGGCAACAAAATGTGCACAGAAAACAATGTTCTTAATCTTCCATATAGCATAAGTATCCCTTGTAGCTTGCGAAGCATTGCCATGAGATTTTGGTTATGGATGTTTGGTGAACAAGGGGTTAAGTTGCACATCATGAATCATGTAACTAATCTTGTGCCCCCAAGTGTGATAGTTTTGCCCATTAAAGTTATCTTCCTTGAACAACTCGACTAGGATTGTCTAGGCGGCCATAGTCCTATAACTCAAAATAACTTAAAGAATTGTCTATAAAGAGGCCATTTATCTTTTGTACATGGGGTCATAAATTATTCCCACTCATTAGATATCAAATTGGATGGCTTGGGGTGAGTCACGAAATACGAGAATTGTTTTTGGAACTTTGTATCTATTTAATGAAACTTGTACAACCACCCATTTTGAAATTTAAGGGACAAGAATGGTTGTGATCTCCATGTATAAAAGAAATCTCTTTGTAGACAATCCCATAACTTAATACAGTCTTAGACACTTGAAATAAAATAGAAATTAGAGCGAAAGAGGTTTGGATCTAATACCAATTAAAGGGTGTATTTGCTGGTCTTACAAGTACTTGGAATTTAAAATTTTCATTCACATGACCATAACACCAAATACATAAACATTACAAGCAAAGTGCAGCCACAAAGGAATGATATATATGGCATATGCCACTGATACACAATACAAAAGAATGCCCAAAACACCTCTAAGAAGCTCTGAAACAAAATATTTTCATTCAATTGACCAATATGGGATTTGTTAATACGGTATATAGTTGGCATGCTGTGTAGAGTGGGCATACCTTGTGAAAACCGTATGTCTGGGAGGAAGATTGGTGAGGGACGGTTGGAACGAGGTCTATACATTTTGGATATAAATTGCAAGGCTTTGGTGACTTCAAAGGAGAAGGTAACTGATTGTCAAATGTGGCATCGGCGTTTTGGCCACCCATCAGACAGAGTTCTTGATTCATTATTTCCTAGTTTACACTGGAATTTTAAAGACTGCTGGTTAGGTGCCTCGATCTCGCCCTCCGGGTCAGGATGACCTGGCAGCACGTGTCTCGGGTTTCAGCGGAACCCGGGACTTGAAATCGCTCTCTCGGGAACCTTGTTAGGGAAACAAGGGCAGGTATACCAATCGATGAGAGAGGAATTTAAGGTGGGTTTGAGAATTACTCGGGCTGGCTCGTATGGGCACGCTCTTAGATCATGAAAAAATCCCCCCAGTCGTACAACTAGTTGGAAAGTACCTCCCTTGGCCTGAATTGTCATGTTTCTGCGATCACACACATATGGTTAATTTTACAAGACAAGTGGGCTAAGGGACCCCACCTTGTCTTTGGGCCAATTCATACAGACGTGCACATTCAAAGGAGAAAAGAGAAGAAATGATGAGATGAGGGTTAAAAGCAGGAAGAAGAGAGAAAGAGGAAGAGAGAGGAGAAGAGAATAAAAGAAAGAGACATAAGTGGCTAGCGTAGCACAGTGGCTAGATTGGTATGATAATTGACCTGACGTGGTTGCAAGACGGGCATGGTAACGCGGATCAGCATGACGACAATACTAATTGACGACAGAAAATCAACACTAACCAGCCTAACACAACGGTGAGTTCGATGTGGTAGCAAGACGGGCACAGTAACTTAGACCGGCACATCGGCAATACTGCTAAACGACGAGACTACCATGACAGTGTTAGACTTGTCCCTTGGTCAAATGAGAGAGGAAGAAGAAGAAGAAAGGGACAGAGGAGAGATAAGAAAAGTAGAGAGAGAAAGATAGAGAAGAAAAACGATAGGAGAAAAAAGGAAAGGGGAAGAAAAGAAAGAGAAGAGATAGAAGAGAAAGGAGAGAAGAGAGAGAAAGAAAGAAAGAAGAGAAAATAGAAGAGAAAAGAAAGAGAAGGGGGAAGAGAAAAGAAAGAAGAGACGGAAGGAAGGGGGAGAAACATAAGCGAGAAGAGAAAAGAAGAAAGGAGAGAGACGAAACATGGATGACAATGAGCTTCTGCCGTCCATGATAGAGGAGAGAGAAAGAAGAAGAAAACATAGACGGTGATGAGCTTCTGCCGTCCATAAGAGGAGAGAGAGAAAAAGAGAACATGGACGGCTATAGGCTTTTGTCGTCCATGAAAGGAGAGAGAGAGAGAAGAAGAAAACATGAACGTCGATGGGTTCTCACCGACCATAACAGAGGAAAGAGAAGAGAGAAAGAACATGGACTGCGATGGGCTTCCGCTGTCCATGACAGAGAAAGAGGAGAGAGAACGATATGGATGGTGATGGGCTTCTGTAGCCTATGATAAAGGAAAGAGGAGAGAGAAAGGACATGGATGGTGATTGGATTTTTGTCGTCCATATCTAGAGAGGGAGACAAGAACTAGAAAGGAAAAGACATGCGCAACGCTAAGCATCGCTGCTCGTGTCATACGAGACTCAGACACAACCCGACTCGACCCGACCCACCACCCGGGGAAGGGCCTGGTTCAGTGTCCTTGTCAAAGAATGAGGAAAGAAATGTCATGCGCGACAATGAGCATCGTTGTGCAAAACATGGGAAGGGAAGACATGGACAGAGGCCCCACCCGCCACTCAGGTTAAGGCTCAATTCATTGTGCATATTTCAAGAATGAGAATATCAGCCCGGCGATGGGTATCCCCATGCATGGCTGGAAAGGAGAGAGAAAAGAAATAACAGGGTGAGAGAAAGAAAGAGAGGAAGAAAGAGGGTTTAAGGAAGAGAAAGAGGAAAGAAAAGTAGATAGAGAAGGAAGGAAAAGATTAAGAAAGAGGGGGAATAAGAAAAGAAAGAAAATAGAGAGAAAAGAGGAAAGAAGAAGAAGAGAGAAAAAGAGAGAGAGAGAGAAGAAGAGAGAAAAAGAGAGAGAGAGAGAGATGCACAACAATAGTTATTGCCATGCACATTTGAGATAGAGATGAGAGAGACAGAGAGAAAAAAGGAAGAGGGAGAAAGAAAGAAAGAGGAGAGTAGGAGAGAAGAAGAAGGAAGTGGAGAGAGAAAGAAAGAAGAGAGAGAAAAGAGGAGGAGAGAGAAAATTACCTTCACTGAGGGCTATCAATCTTTTTCTTCTCTCTCCTCTCTATCTCTCCAAGACGTTCCTCTCCAACTCAACATAAAAACTCAAACTTTATTGATGAATGGAAAGTATGAGAGCAGTTTTTTTACAATTAGGTTTAGCATGTATTTATAGAATAGGCCCTAAACATAGGTAGATACCAAAAAAAATCCTAATTGATCATAATTACAATTTATTTGAATTAAAATAAAATCTAAAAATGGGTGCAAAATGATTGCTTTGCCTCTGCCTAACAATATATGAAATTCCAAAACAATCCCTGCTGCTGCCTTAGAACGTGCATGATATTCCATGGATGATCCAGGTAGCTCTAGTACCCGTTTGACGAAAAGATGATTGCTTTCTTGTAGTGCTCATCATGGCGATTGATTTAATACCAACTTTAAGCCACGGATTGTGTATTTAAGCCACAATCATGGGACTTGAACTTTGTACGAATCTTGAAAACTTCAGATCAATAGTGTGTTCATATCTTGATGTTCATTATTTCTTCGTTGCAGTGCACGGAGCATGTTGTCACGATCATGTGGCAACAAACATAGCTCGATTTCATGCCCAAACGAAGATTTTACAGTCTTGAGTTTTTTGTCGGAATCTAGAATCCGACAATCGAAATTTACAACAACTTTATCAGCTTCGTGTATGAAATCCGATCGTTCATCACATGTGGGGTTCATACCAACGGTAGTCCTGAACCTTACACACGCTATGGAACTGGTATTGCACCAATCCGATATGCCAGCTCCGTGATATGGTCGCTTTAGCGGGATATGTCGCTGCTAAATTTTCAGCAACTTCCTTTACGAATCATCGACTTCTCTCTAGCTTTTCTCTTTGCTCGTGCCTCATCACGGGGCATGCCACATATCGAAACACTCGTCTTGACGAGACGAACGCTTCTCGAGACTAGTGAGGTATGGCTCCCGAAATTCACTGCTCGAGACCATAAAAATAGTCACCATTAATGGTATTTTGGTGCAAGGAGGGCACACGGGAATAGTCTATGGCGTACGCATTTTTGGTATTTTACCCATAACTTTGTCATGGAGCGCCTGATTAAGCCAAAA